ACCATTTTGCCCTTCAACATGTATTACCCTATAAGTACCATTTCACAAGGCGAATTCATTGTGATCACATCACAATACCAAGTCCAACGATCTTATCGTCGGACTACTGAGCTCAAGTTGAATTCCCTTTAGAAAATATCTTAGAGTGACTATCGTCTCATCATGACGATTAAGGGATTTCACTATTGCATGTATATGATCTCTAACTGTTTCGTCCAGATTCCCAAAGCATTGAGATTGATCTTCTAATTAAGTCTTTACCCATGGGTACCTCAAAGAACTTGAACTAGCAATTAGAGGCACATTAATTGCTCAGGATTTAGGTGACTTGTTCGATAATCAAGTGGTGTCTCATTTCGAGCGATCACAAATGAGTCATCCCGTGATCCAGTTCAATGTGCTTCAAAACAAGTTATGGTTCTTATTCCCAGATCTAGACAAATCTTAATAAAAACAATGCAATCTTATCAACATAAAGCGTCCAACTTCAGGTACCGATTGTGAACACCATATTTTGATTATATAACGAATTGTATCTCACTATACCCAAATCATCGAGTATACAATTTGTTATATTTCATATGATCATGGAACCTTAGATTATTGTCGTAAATTCTAACACACGAATAATAGAACGTTAATTCATAATGTCGTTACAATGCACTTACTACAAGGGCATCAAACTAACAATAGTGTCATGTTGAAGGTGGTCGCAAATAAGAAGACAATCAATTTCAATATTTTTCGTCTACTAATGCGACACAAAATTATGAAATATTTAAATAGTACTCTTATTAGTAGGAAGAGTAGTACCATATTTGCAAGTAACCAAAGGTGGTGAATGTTACGGCGCGATACTCAACCTCGGTAGAAGATTGAAAAATAAAATGTTGCTTCTTACTCTTCCAAGAGATGGAAAAAAAAAAATTGCACAAAAGGCAGATTTATGATTAGTTGGGTCATTCGCCCAATCAACATCAACGTACGCAAGTAGCTCCAAAGATGAAGATGACGGAATAAAAGACTTTGAAAGCAAGTTCCACAAAGAAACGCAAAATATGAACCTTAGCAGCCCAATGAAATGTAGTAGAAGGTGCAACAAATTGACTAATAATATAAATAACATAGGCAAAATTTGGCCTGAGTAATAGTAAGGCATACCAAACAACTAACATCATACAATATAAAGTAAGATATATCAAATGTATAACATCAGAGGACGAATACCAAATATTAGTCTAAATAGGAGTATCAACAATTAAAGTATCAGTAAGACAATCACACTAAATAAGGAATCAAGTCTTGCACACTTTGCTACATCTTTCTTTTCCATAGACGACCTCCTTCAACATTTTTTAATTTTTTTGTATGTAGTAGCAAGGGCATTGTTACCTTTGGACTCAAAAACATTATTTATCTAAGATGGACCCTATCCAATAATGTTACTATATGTTTCAAGATATCATAATCTTCGCTTTAAAATTCACGTCCTACTCGGCATTAACATCATCCCAAGTCATTTTCCTGGATGACTGTTCAAATTCACGTGAAGAAACATACAACTTAATCCTTCCAATTAAACACTTGCTGAAATACAGATCAGTCGATTCTTGGCTTCATTCGAATGGTGTTTTTCATAGCAAAGTCACAAAATTTCTCAAGAAAGATCAGCCTCGTTTCGAGATTTGATTTCTAGCAATCGTTAACTACTCTATCTCTCTATATATACTTAATTTCCATACTCAAAGATTTGTTGAGCTGTAGAGCCTAATAATACATTCAACCCCTCGACCGTGGATCATACACTACTTTCATAATCTAGACATTTTTTCTCAATTTTAGGAGTAAATTAAATATCTCGTACACGTATCAAAATATTCTTACCAATACAAAATAATTTTTAGGGGTTCAATTTTATGTTTGTAAGCCTGAAAAAACTTGGTACTGTTTTTTTTTTTTTTTTTT